ATTCCACCATAATGGATATGCCCATGTCCATTAAAGTTTCACTGATATATCAGTAGTCTGATATATTGTCTGAGACTGGCCTGTTACCAGTGAATTACACTGTACTGATATGCAGTAATATTGAAATATGAGCAGGTTAACTTCAGCACTACCGCCACCTACAGATATATATATTTATCATAATTTTATTAGTGCCTGCCTTAGGTTCATATCAGTATTAGGGCTGGGTTCTGATGACTGTTTCCTGCATGCTTGCAGCTACTGTTTGTAACCTGATAGCTTTTTTTATGTAGACTTTTATTTAGAAAAGCGTGACACACTTCCCGTCTGACCTCCTATCTCGCGATCATTCGCTGCTGTTTACGCGGCTTAGCTGCACGACCGTCGTGCTCCACAAAAATGACTTCTGTAATGAGATTTCTGAGCTCTGTAGTAAATATATTATGCATTCCGCTTCACCTGATTCACGCCGTCGGCCTGTCCGGAATATACAAGCGTATTTTCCCAATTTGTATAAATCGGATGGCGAAATCGTACAATAAGAAGATGCACGATAAAAAGAAGGATTTGTTTTGCGTTTTGCCAGAGTTCAAGAAGGCTGGCGGGCAGCTCACAATTTTGGAGATTGGCTGCGGCACAGGTGCAAATTTTGAGTTTTATCCGCCTGGTAGCAGATTGATCTGTACTGACCCCAACCCGCACTTTGAGAAATATCTGACAGAAACTATGGCCAAGAACGATCACCTGAGATATGAGAGATTTGTGGTGGCGTCGGGGGAGGACCTGAGGGCAGTGGAGGACGACTCGATAGATGTTGTAGTCTGTACCCTGGTGCTCTGCTCTGTGGACGACGTGAGCCAAACCCTGCGAGAGGCACACCGCATACTGCGACCAGTGAGTGGGCTTTGCAGCAATTACTTCAGACTGAATCGAGTCCATATTAAACACTGATTGGCAGCCATGCTGTTTATGTTATTATTTGTGCTGCTTCTCTTGGGGGAGAAGAAGACGCTTCGTATCCTAAGAGCCTGTCATTGTCTAGAGTCAATATATTTTCATGAAAGTCATAATTGTCGAAGTGTTCTCTATCGCTTTAACAATTGTGAGCTTTAGGACACGTGATCGTGATAAGCGGGTACTGCCACCTTCTCTTGGTGGATTTTACTGCCTTCCAGCTGTGGTTCTGCATCAATCAGTAAAAGTTGAAGAGTCATCAAGAAAACAACTGCAGTGTTCACGATTTAAAAAGTTTATCATCATTTTCTGTTTGATTGTACAGCATAAACATTACTTAAATTTATTAGAGACCACCTGTTATATCCAACAGCAATACTGAAATCAGTTCTTAGTTTCCAATATCAGTCCAATAGGCACTAAGTCACTAGATGGACAGTAATAGCACTTTGTACCATGCACCTTTTTAATCTGTCTCCAGTTTAAGGCATTTAGGTCTGTTTTATGGGATTCCATATAAATTTAAAGCAATATTAATTAAATTATTAGATCATTATAGTGCGTATATTTCTTAAGAATATTGTTTTATACATTACATTTTTAATTTATTGGATATGTGTGAAAAGCAATTTTCCTTGATCAAGAGGAAGACGCCCAATTTCCATGGATGTGTCAGATGCAGTGAGGTATTCTGTTTAACATAAAAAGCGATTTCCTGGATTTTGCAAAAAAGGAATGCCAAAAACTGATTGCACCTTTGATCTCATGACAGGAATGTTGTTTCAGGCTGAGAATGACTTGGAGTAATTAATTAGAGATATGTTTGACTAGGGATGGGTACCGGTGTCGGTTCTGACATAAACGGTAGTAACCAGACCAAAAAGCAGCGCACATTTCGGTGCTTTATTTCGGTGCTTTTTTTTCCTGAGCTGTGATACACTTCTAGCCAATCATTTTACGTTTCCGAGGATAGTAGGCGGGCCCAGGTACGTACGTTCTTTTAGAGCGGAGCTACAGATTAAAAATGTCCAAGGCGAAGCGGTCAAAAGTCTGGCTGTACTTCACAGCAAAATATGCAAACTCAGCAGCCTGCAACAAGTGCTTTAAGGTGATACTGTGATACTGTCAAAGGAGGCAACACCAAGAATCCGAT